TGAATAATCCTGCAGCCATCTTTAATGTCGGCTACAAGCCATAACGCATGCCTATTTAAATATCAATGGCGCGGACAGGTTTGTTTTCTTGTCGCTGTTCAGGTCCTGGCACAGAACGTCGATTATTGGAGGGGGGAGGTACTGCCGTCTAAAATGATTTTCTTTCACCTTGGAAATGTGAGTTGTAAGAAAAGATTTTTCCTCATTGACACTGGACCAAATCCAAGAGATAATGAGAGACCGATATACTCTCTTCCAGAACCAGATCTACCTGTTTGTGAATCATTGCAGGAGTTTCGGCAAGAGTTTTACTCTGATCACCTGAAACCTTATAAATTCCAAAATTGCTGGAAGAGAAAATCCGGTTTTACTACCAGGATTAGAGCCCAGGCCGACACAGAGGGCCGCTGAAGGAGACGCATCTGTCGTATTGTCTGGAACTGTATATACGTCTTCTCAGACAGGATCCGTGGATTGCATCATCATCCTGATAATACGTTTCAGGGCTGGATGCCAGCAATCTCCCAAAATTAATCCAATTTTTATTTTTTTAAAGGACACACCTTAACATTTTGTGCATTTTCCTAATTAGAGGGATTTCCTGGAAGCAATGGAAATTACTTTTGATTGGGAGCCCTTCCTTTATTACAGCACTGACAATGTACACAGTGCTTGTACATTCACATCAGTCATTGCCCTCAAGGAACTTACAATCCCTATCTCACATGCATGCAGGGGCCAATAGACATGTGCGGGACGACAACATTTGTTTTGTTTCTATTTCAATCATTTTATTTCATTAAATTAGTTTAATTTATTTTCGGAATTCGTTAACCCCCGGTTCACATCTATGCGGCCGTGCGGGCCACGTTTTGCGCGGGCACGAGAGCCCATTCTTTTGAATGGACTCCCGTGTCCGTGACACGCAGGGAAAGAAGTCCCCATACTTCTTTGGAAAACGCAGACGAGGTTCCCAGTACGGTTGCGGTTTCCAGTGTGGGCGGCGTGCCATTAGAACTAATGGCACCCGCCCGCTGGTCCGCAATTCTCTGTGCGAGTGGTACGGCTGCACGGATTTTCGTGAGGATCCACAGCGGCACCACCCGCACAGATGTGAACCTAGGGTTAGCTTTGTTTTCTATTCGAACTCAGTTTGACCGAAATTCAGAAAATTCAAAACAGCATTCAAACTGACTTTCGAATTCTAATTTATTCTGTTAGAAATTGACATTTCTGAAGATGGGTATATTCTATTTTACTGGGTTTTTTCTATCATATTCTATTCTTTTCTAATCTATACTATACAAATTTATTCTATTTGAAATTCCAACTTTGGAAGACAGTTATATTCTATTTTATCCTATTGTTTTTTCTATCCTATTCTATGCAAATTTGAATTTTTTCTATTTGAAATTAAAAATTTCAGAAGACAGTTATATTCTATTTTATTCTATTGTTTTATCCATTCTTATCTATTCTGTGCTTGTATTGTCTATTCTATTCTTTTCTGTTCTATTCTATTCTTTTTGTTTTCGAATTTGAGCCAAATTCAAATCTAGTTTATTCTATTGTTTTTTTTCTATTCTATTCTTTGCTAATCTATACAATTCAAATTCAAATTAAATTCAATGGAAAAATTAATCCGAATTTCGACTCAGAACTAAACAAACCCCACATGTCTAGGGGTCAATTAACATACCAGCTAGACTTTGAAGTGTTGAAGAAAATTGGTGTAGCACCATCCTAGTTAGGCAGCTAATTAAATTTATTTTGGGATCCTTCTATAGTCAAGGGAGCAGAGATCATTTGCTTTAGTCTGTTCAGGGCTTGACTACGTACCCCTGCCTCTTAAAGAGGTTTCTAGAGCAAACTTTTGAAACAAAGGGCCAGTTTACTACCCTTCAAGCTTTAGGGGGGCCGGACTATGGCCAGAGGGAGTAGACAATGCCCTGGCTTCAGTGGGAGTAGACAATGCTAACACCCATCGTTGGTGTCAGTGTGAGAATTAGTTTCCCTTCTCTGGTGTCATTGAGAGGAAGAGTACCCCATTGTTGGTGTCAGTGGTAGGAATAGTGCCCCAACAGAAGAATGAAGGCAAGCAAAGGGCCACATCTGGCCCATGGGCAGCAGTTTGGTGACCCCTGTTCTAGAGCTTAGGAAGCAGGAATTCAAATATCCAGCCTGAATATTCAGCGGGGATTAGCCATTCCCTGGGGAGGTGTGCTGGGCTTCTATTAAATAGTCTGGAGCTCTGAAGAGATTGTCTTCTTCCCTGTAAGGGACTGGATAAGTGAGCTTCCTGGAGCCCCTCCTGGACTGGAATTTGGACTACAAAGGAATGATCCTATGGGCTCATTCTGCCCCATGATCTGTGAGTAGTAGTTCTGCTTGTGCTAAAGATGCGTCATGGTCACCAGTCATGAACCCATGGACTGTTACAGTCTACCTCTACTTGTGCTAGATCTTGCCATTAATTTGGACAAAATTTCCCCTTCCCTTTAGAGCTCACCCCCCCCCCAAATCATTAGTGAGCCACCACCATGCTTCACAGTGGGGATAGTATTCTTCTTGCTATAGACCTTGCTGATCTCTCTCTAAACATTGCGCTTATGGTGACCATAAAGCTCTAGTTTGGCCTCGTCACTCCAGATTACAATGTGCCAGACTCTGTGAGGCATATCAAGGTGTTGCCAGGCATATTGTAACCGGGCGTTTTTGTGGCATTTTTCGCAGTAGAGGCTTCTTTCCAGCAACCCAACCACGCAGCTCATTTCTGTTCAAGTATTGTCATATTGTGTGCCTTGAAACAACCACACTATCTTTTTCCAGAGCAGCCTGTATTTCTCCTGAGGTTACCTATGGGATTTTCTTTGTATCCCGAACAATTCTTCTGGTAGTTGTGGCTGCAATCTTTCTTGATCTACTCAACCTTGGCTTGGTATCAAGAGATCCCCAAATGTTTCCACTTCTTAATAAGTGATTGGACAATACTGACTGGCTTATTCAAGGCTTTTGATATCTTTTTATATCCTTTTTTAATCTTTATAAAGCTCCATGGCCTTGTTTGGCAGGTCTTTTGACAGTTCTTTTCTGCTCCCCATGGCTCAGTGTCTAGCCTGCTCAGTGCATCCACGTGAGAGCTAACAAACGCACTGACTATTTATACACAGACACTAACTGCAATTTAAGAAACCACAGATGTGGGAAATGAACCTTTGATTGCCATTGTAACCTGTGTGTGTCACCTTGGAACACAGTGAATACAGTCATCCTCAAGTGGAGAAAATATGGTGCAACAGTGACATCATCAAGAACTGGATTTCCCTCCAAAATGGATGAAAAGACGAGAAGAAAACTGGTCTGGAAGGCTATCAAGAGGCCTACAGCAACATGAAAGGAGCTGTGGTAATATCTGGCAAGTCCTAGCTATGTGGTCCATGTGACAACAATCTCCCGTATTCCTCATATATCTAGGCTATGGGGTAGAGTGGCAAGATGGAAGCCTTTTCTTACGAAGAAAAACACCCAAACCCACCTACATTTTGCAAAAACATATCTGAAGTCTCCCAAAAGCATGTGGGAAAATGTGTTATGGCCTGATGAAACCAAGGTGGAACTTTTTGGCCATAATTCCAAAAGATATGTTTGTCACAAAAACAACACATCACCAACAGAACACCATACCCACCGTGAAGCATGGTGATGGCAGCATCATGCTTTGGGGATGCTTTACTTCAGCTGGCACTGGGGCCTTAGTACATGTAGAGGGAATGATGAACAGTTCCAAATACCAGTCAATATCGGCACAAAACCTTCAGGCTTCTGCTAGAAAGCTGAACATGAAGAGGAACTTCATCTTTCAGCATGACAACCACCCAAAGCATCCATCCAAATGAACAAAGGAATGGCTTCACCAGAAGAAGATGAACGTTTTGGAATGGCCCAGCCAGAGCCCAGACCTGAATCCGATGGAAGATCTGTGGGGTGATCTGAAGAGGGCTGTGCACAGGAGATGCCCTCGCCATCTGACAGATTTGGGGTGTTTTTGCAAAGAAGAGCGGGCAAATATTGCCGAGTCAGGATGTGCCCTGCTGATAGACTCCTCCCCAAAAAGACTGAGTGCTGGAATCACATCAAAAGGGGCTTCAACAAAGGATTAGTGTAAGGGTGTGCACACTTATGCAACCAGATTATTTTTGTTTTTTATTTTTACTTCCCTCCACCTAAAAGATTTCAGTTTGTTGTTCAACTGAATTGTACACTTTATAGGTCACATTAAAGGTGGAAAAAGTTCTGAAATTATTTATTTTTGTCTCATTTTTTTTTTATATCACAGAAACCTGACATTTTAACGGGTGTGTAGACTTTTTATATTCACTGTAAACATATTAAATTACTATTATTATTATTACACAGGATTTATATAGCGCCAACAGTTTGCTCAGCACTTTACAATATAAAAGGGAAACAATACAGCAACAATACAGTTCAATTCAAGAGAGTTAGGAGGGCCCTGATCCTTGGAGCTTACAATCTAAGAGGGAGGGGCTAGTGGTACAAAAGGTAATAACTGTGGGGGATGGACTAGTAGGAGGAGTAGAAGATTTCGTTATTAGCTGAGGGCAGGATAGGCTTCCCTGAAGAGAAAGGTTTTCAGAGATCGCCTAAAAGTGGGCAGAGAAGGCGACAGTCTGATAGATTGGGGTAGAGAGTTCCAGAGGATGGGGAAGGCTCTGGAGAAGTCCTGGAGAAGAGCATCGGAGGAGGAGACAAGGGAGTTAGAGAGCAGGAGATCAGAGGAGCCGAGAGGACGGTTTGGGTGATATTTGGAGACAAGATTGGTGATGTAATTTGGGGCAGAGTTATAAATGGCTTTATATGTTATTGTTAATGTTTTGAGTTTTATGCGTTGGGCAACGGGAAGCCAGTGGAGGGATTGGCAGAGAGGGGGGGAGGACAGTGAATGGAAGCCAGTGGAGGGATTGGCAGAGAGGGATGGAGGACACTGAGTGGAGGTCAGTGGAGGGATTGGCATAGAGGGATGGAGGACACTGAGTGGGGGCCAGTGGAGGGATTGGCATAGAGGGGTGGAGGACACTGAGTGGGGGCCAGTGGAGGGATTGGTGGAGAGGGGTGGAGGACACTGAGTGGAGGCCAGTGGAGGGATTGGCAGAGAGGGATGGAGGACAGTGAATGGAAGCCAGTGGAGGGATTGGCAAAGAGGGATGGAGGACACTGAGTGGAGGTCAGTGGAGGGATTGGCATAGAGGGATGGAGGACACTGAGTGAGGGCCAGTGGAGGGATTGGCGGAGAGGGGTGGAGGACACTGAATGGAGGCCAGTGAAGGAATTGGCAGAGAGGGATGGAGGACACTGAATGGAGGCCAGTGGAGGGATTGGCAGAGAGGGGTAGAGGACACTGAGTGGAGGGATTGGCAGAGAGGGGTGGAGGACACTGAATGGAGGCCAGTGAAGGGATTGGCAAAGAGGGGTGGAGGACACTGAATGGAGGCCAGTGGAGGGATTGGCAGAGAGGGGTGGAGGACACTGAATGGAGGCCAATGGAGGGATTGGCAGAGAGGGGTGGAGGACACTGAATGGAGGCCAGTGGAGGGATTGGCAGAGAGGGATGGCAGATATGGAACAGTTAGTAAGGTGGATGAGTCTGGCAGTAGCATTCATGATAGACTGAAGAAGGGATAGCCTGCGATGAGGTCGGCCAATGAGGAGGGAGTTACAATAGTCCAGAGAGATAACCAGGGAGGTAATAAGCTGCTTAGTAGTATATTAAATGAATTTAACAAAACAAAACAAATTCTTTCATTCAGCACATGTCTAGTTCTGTTTCAGCTGCATTCAAAAACATCCCCCATCCACCAAAACTGTGCTTTGTTCATCTCAGAGGCTTACAACCACTTTAAAGCTGATTTTGTAAACCAATTGGAACCCAGTTTCAGCCCTTTCCTCTCCGGCATTCTTTGGCCCAGTTTGAAGTAGAACATGTAAGCCGTCCCAAGTGATGGACGAGTGATGACGGCCGTTGTGAGGAGGAAGGCCTGGTATTTTGACAAGGCCCATGACACCTTTATCTGAGCCCTGATGGATCTAGTGAAAGGTTCAGCCATATTTACCTTGTAGATTATTAGTGGTATCTCCGCATAACCCTGTAACCTCCTTACCAGGGCCTGGAACGTGGCGGCTGACGGGCCTGTCGGAGGGCCTGACAGAGAAATGTTATCCTTCAGCTGCTGTTTTCTGTTCTCTGTCTGCATTATCAGATTCTCCTGAACAGTCCCCCCACTAATTACTTCTTCACCTCATTCCCCTTGATTTTATCTGGCCAGAGACAAAGAAGTACTTTGATTTATTAGGTGATCCAGGAAAGGTTGTGTGAGATTTTACTTTTTTTTTTTTAGTATGCTTTTGTAAGTTTTTAAATAACTTCAAAAGAAGTTCACGTGTAGGACGAAGAGTCTGTGAGTTCGCTTCAGACTGATGCTCAGGCCTAGAATGTGTTCTAAATATACTGAAGGAGTTTTTATTAAAAATAATTAAAAATGTTTTCTTTTTGAGTAAAAAAAAGTACCCCTTTCTTTCACTGGATGATAAACCGCTTTTTCCACCAGTTTCTGATATAAAGCGGTATTAGGCTCCATGCACACTGGGCGTTTTTAGCCCTCATGCCCACTTGACGATTTGATAGTGTTGGTAATATTGAGTTTTTCAGCTTTTTTTAGCTTTTTTGCATTAGCATTTAGCTGCGTTTGTCCGTGTTTGCGTTTTTTAATGTTTCTTTTCTGGTCAAAAAAAGTAAAAAAACACCAGTTTGTGGCGTTTTGCCGTGTTTTTCAGTGTTAGACCATTTTTAAAGCTAAAAAATTCTTCTAGAAGCCCACTAGTCCTGGATTTTTTTTCCCAGCCAAAAAACGTCCCTGCCAAAAAAATGTTGATTCCAGTCTGTGTGTGTATGGGCACATAGGATAACATGCTGGGGGGTTTACTAGCTGTAGAAAAAACATCAAAAGCCAAAAACAGCCGCTGTAAAAACGTCCCGTGTGCGTGAGGACTAATAATGCTGGTAACGTTAGCTGTGTAAAGTCACGTTAAAAACGTGAGTTTTTCAGTGTTTTTTAGCGTTTTTATATAGCGTTTAACAGTGTTTTGCCGGTTGTTTTTTTTCGCATTTGCGGTTTTTTCACGTTTTTTTTTTTTGTGAAAAAAAGTCCAAAAACGCTGGTTTGCTGCGATTTACCGAGTTTTGACACGTTTTTTCAGCGTTAGAGCGTTCTTACAGCTTAAAACTCCTCTAGAAGCCCACTAGTTCTGGGTTTTTTTCCAGCCAAAACACGTTAATTCCAGTCTCTGTGTGTGTATGAACACATAGGATAACATGCTGGGGGGGTTTACTAGCTGTAGAAAAAATGTCAAAAGCCAAAAACTGCCGCTGTAAAAAAAGTCCCGTGTGCATGAGGACTTAAACTGAAAATGTCACATATTCCAGCTTACCAATCATTAGATGTGGTTGCATCTGTTTCCTTTTTTGGGCTTTTTTGCCCTCTGTTTCCACCTGGTGATCTCACCAGGAACACACATCCTGTGTTAGAGCGCCCCCACTCTGAATGAAGGAACAACAGAGACACCTTTGGACAGCAATGTTGTCAGTCGGGGGGGGGGGTTAGATGCACTAACATATTTAGATACACTAACAAATTGAAGCCAAACTCCAGATCACACTGCAGTTTCACAAACAGTTTTTTTTTTTCTTTTGGGATAAAGGTTTAACATAGATAAATAAAATCTGATCATTGTAAGTGTTCCTGTCAGTGGTGAATGGTTTGTCTCCTCACTATTAACTGATACATTTACAGGACAGCTTGTTCTGTTGAAAACCAAAAGACTTACTGGTCAGATCACCAGGTGAAAATAAAGAAAAGAAACCCTCCTCCAGATCCTGCACTTTCTGCTTTCCAGCTCCACCCCCAGCTTCATCACGGAAACGGCACAAGGTAAGGGGGATGTACTGGATGCACGGTGATGTAAGGGAAGGTAGGGACTCTTGACTTCTGATGGTTAGGATGGTGTAATGCTTTCCAGTATTTTTGCTAGATTTCTACTTTCAGAACTAATTATTACAAAAACCAGTAATAATCGAACGCAAAGGCAATTATTTAATATACAAAAGAGTAGATACTTTTATATAGTCTTGCAGATACAACCGGCCCTTTGAGAGCAACCATAACATGATAAATTTGAGTTTCACACCCATGATCTTGCCAACAGATAAGTATCATGAATATAAAGTATTCAGTAAACAACTGGACTGTGGAGAACTTATTTATTTATTTCAGGTACTTATATAACACTGTCAATTTATGCAGCGCTTTACATATATATTGTACATTCACATCAGTCCCTAACCCTCAAGGGGCATACAATCTAAGGTCCCTAACCCTCAAGGGCCATACAATCTAAGGTCCCTAACCCTCAAGGGGTGTACAATCTAAGATCCCTAACCCTCAAGGGGCGTACAATCTAAGGTCCCTAACCCTCAAGGGGTGTACAATCTAAGGGCCCTAACCCTCAAGGGGCGTACAATCTAAGGGCCCTAACCCTCAAGGGGCATACAATCTAAGGTCCCTAACCCTCAAGGGCCGTACAATCTAAGGTCCCTAACCCTCAAGGGGTGTACAATCTAAGGTCCCTAACCCTCAAGGGCCATACAATCTAAGGTCCCTAACCCTCAAGGGGCATACAATCTAAGGTCCCTAACCCTCAAGGGGTGTACAATCTAAGGTCCCTAACTCACATTCATACATACACATACTAGGGGCAATTTAGACAGGATCCAATTCACCTCCCAGCATGTCTTTGGAGTGTGGGAGGAAACCCATGCAGGCACAGGGAGAACATGCAAACTCCAGGCAGGTGATGCCATGGTTGGGAATCGAACCAACGACCCTAGTACTGCCAGGTGGAAGTGCTAACCACTAAGCCACTGTGCTGCCCTGAACTTCTTTCTTAGTTTTACAACTACACAGCTCTTACCAGTTTCAGAGTTACATATATTTTTTTCAGCCTATAGGAACCCTTCATACTGCAAAAATGTTGGCTTTGTTGTGGTGACAATGATGGCACCACATATCTCCAAGCAATATCTTGTGTTGGTAAAAAGCATTTTCTATCTGGCAACTTGAGGCAGGTCCAGGTGATCTTGTGCCTAGGTTGCAGTTTATCAGAAAGGTTAAGCTGGCCATAGATAGACAAAATTTCAAACAAAAATTCTTTGGAAAATCTTAGGAAAATTTTACCAAAATTTTCAGAACATTTGTTTGTCAGTCGAAAGACTTTGATTGCTTTTAACATGTAATAATGGAATGATTGGGCTTTACTTAAAGAAAACCACCTACACTTTTTGGAATTCATGCTCCCTTCGAATTTTCTCGACACTTTGGTTGAAAACAAACTTTGATTTGACCACCACCAATGATTAGAAAAATGAACAAACTTTCTTAGAACCTTCTTTTCCCAAGAATTTTCTTTCAGAATTCTACCCATCTATGGCCAGCTTTAGAAAACTTGGGGGTTGATTTACTAAATGCAAATATACTGTGCACTGCAAGTGCACTTGCTCTAGAACAAAGGTCTCCAAACTGTATAAGCAAAGGGCAAGTTTACTGTTGTTCTGGTTTTAGGAGGGTTGTACTGGTCAAGCTGGGGTAAAAAAGTCCTGGTGTCAGTTGGCATAAACAGCATCCCCTCTGTGATATTAGTACCCCCATCATTGGTGTCAGTGGGAAGAATAGTGCCCATCATTGGTATCAGTGGGAGGAATAGTGCCCCATCATTGGTATCAGTGGGAGGAATAGTGAACCATCATTGGTGTCAGTGGGAGGAATAGTGCCCCATCATTGGTGTCAGTGGGAGGAATAGTGCCCCATCATTGGTGTCAGTGGGAGGAATAGTGCCCCATCATTGGTGTCAGTGGGAGGAATAGTGCCCCATCATTGGTGTCAGTGGGAAGAATAGTGCCCCATCATTGGTGTCAGTGGGAGGAATAGTGCCCCATCATTGGTGTCAGTGGGAAGAATAGTGCCCATCATTGGTATCAGTGGGAGGAATAGTGCCCCATCATTGGTGTCAGTGGGAGGAATAGTGTCCCATCATTGGTGTCAGTGGGAGGAATAGTGCCCCATCATTGGTGTCAGTGGGAGGAATAGTGCCCCATCATTGGTGTCAGTGGGAAGAATAGTGCCCATCATTGGTGTCAGTGGGAGGAATAGTGCCCCATCATTGGTGTCAGTGGGAAGAATAGTGCCCATCATTGGTATCAGTGGGAGGAATAGTGCCCCATCATTGGTGTCAGTGGGAGGAATAGTGTCCCATCATTGGTGTCAGTGGGAGGAATAGTGCCCCATCATTGGTATCAGTGGAAGGAATAGTGCCCCATCATTGGTGTCAGTGGGAGGAATAGTGCCCCATCATTGGTATCAGTGGGAGGAATAGTGCCCCATCGTTGGTATCAGTGGGAGGAATAGTGCCCCATCATTGGTGTCAGTGGGAGGAATAGTGCCCCATCATTGGTATCAGTGGGAGGCATAGTGCCCCATCATTGGTGTCAATGGGACGAATAGTGCTCCATCATTGGTGTCAGTGGGAGTAATAACACTCTATCAGAGGTATCAGTGGGAGGAATAGTGCCCCGTTGTCAGTGTTAATGGCAGGAACTATGCCCCACTGTTGCTGACACTGGAGGAATAGTGCCC